GAGCTCGCTGCGGGGGGGGGCCTACCTGCGGCTGCTGGGAATGTGACCCCAGTTGAGCCTCCAGGAGATGACGGGCGTTGGCACGCCCACGGCCACGCAGGTGAAGCGAACGGTGTCTCCTGGGGCGGCCTGGATGGACTCCTCAGGGGGAGTGATTACCTGTGGAGGGACTGGGGCAGAAGGGGCAGGAAGGCAACAACGCAAGAGCTCAAGCGGGCGCGGCCAGGAGGGGCAGCCGAGCAGGGTAGAGCGTGGGGCCGTGGCCAGCTCTGACAAGGATGCAGAGCTGAGGAGAACAACCTGCCCTCTGGGCACACAGGCCCCGTGCGCTTCCTTTAGAACACTCTCTGGAAATGGGGGCAAGCTGGGGATTCAGGGGTCACCAGCCCAATTCCGCGCCAGCCTTATGGGCTACCCGGGTACTCAGGAAAGGCAGAACGAAACAAAGGAAATGGAATTCTCTGCCACCGGTTTCGGGGATGGGCCGCTGGCTGAGAAAACGAAACGTGCTTACGGTCCAGGATGGATTAAAAACACACCGGTTTTTGACGTGAATACCAGTTCGTGAGGGGTGGTCTACCCATACTGCAAGGATTATGTAAAGCCTCCAGTTCCAGAGGCAGCCTATTCTGGAGAACAGGCAGCTGCTTTGGGGCTGCCTGGGGGGACCTGCAGCCCAAGAGGCGAGCCCCCCTCGCCAATCCCCTGGGAAGGAGCTGGGCTCTCCGTTCGTTCCTCCCACCCCCCCACCCCCAGCCCGCTTGGCTTCCTCGCACTCACTGCAGCCGATCTCGTCCGAGCGGTCCAGACAGTCGGCCTCCTCGTCGCACTGGTAGCTGGCTGGGATGCAGGTGTGGCTGGAGAGGCAGACGAACTGGTCGGGGCCACAGGTGTCTCCGGGGCCCTTGGTGGCTGCAGGGAGGAAGGAGGGTGTCAGCCATGGCAACGGCCCTCGCTGCGCCCGGGACTCTTTACCGGCTCCTCCTCTTGGATTGCTTCAGGGGTCCTGCGAGCCACTTTCCAGGGCCTGAGCTTTTCCAAACGGACTGCCAAGACCCCACTTCAAGCCTCCCCCTCGCTTGCGTTTTGGCTCAGGTGCTACGTGAACCCAGCCCCGTGAACCCCGGCCGAACGCAATGCCTGAATGCTGCAGAAGGCGCGCCCCCCGCCCCCGGCAGAGCTCTCGATGCTCACGGCAGTTCAGCTCATCTGAGCCGTCGGCGCAGTCGTTGTCCCCGTCGCACCGCCAGAGCGTGAGGGCGCAGTGCCCGTTCCGGCATCTGAACTCATTGGGTTCGCAGGGTGAGGGAGTGCCTGGGGGGGACCAAAGGAGAGTCACTGCGGCGGCTCTCTCTCTCTGTCACGCACGTGCACGCGCCCCAGCTGCAGCCCGAGGGACTCACCGCAGTTCTGCTCGTCGCTGCCGTCCGAGCAGTCCCTCTCGCCATCGCACACGTAGTCCCGCGGGATGCACTGCCTGTTGGAGCACATGGCCTCGTCTTTCCGGCAGGGACGCAATCCGGGGAACAGCGGGGGCTTGGAGAGCACGACCTGAGGCAGCAGGGTGACCGGTGCTCGGCGGGTGGTGACCGGGGAGGTGGTGGCAGGGAGCCGGGCAGTACTTGGCCACGGGGAGGGCACCGAGGGCCACTCGAATTCTCCTGCAGCAGAGAAGAAGAGCGATGGGTCAACGGGACGAGGAGAGGGAGCGGCGGAGGACTACGCGAGTCGGCTGGGCCCGGATGCCCAGCCCTGAGACTGAGAAAGCAGAGGCGTCCGAACGCAAACTGCACCCACCCCCCTCACAGGCTGTTGGGGAAGGGGTGGGTGGAGGCAGAATCAGGGCATGCTCAGAAAGACGTGCAGAGGCCGAGCCTCCCCCTACCGCAGCCATCCTCATCCGAAGCATCTCCACAGTCAGGGTGTCCGTTGCACCGCAACGCCTGGTGTACGCATTCACCGCTGTCGCAGGGAAATTCCCCGTGGGCGCACTCGGGGGGTGCAGGCTCTTCTGCGGGGCAGGGCGAGAGAGAAACAAAGCTGAGCCCCCCCTTGCGGTGAAGAGGATGAGGAACCGCAGGCCACTGACAGCCCCAAACACTCACCGCAGTCCAGCTCGTCCGACATGTCGCGGCAATCCGGCCGCCGGTCGCAGAAGAACTCCCTGGGGATGCATTCACCGCTGCGGCAAGAGAACTCCTCCGCAGTGCAGGCCCGGATCTCTGGGGTGACTGGAAAGAGAGCAGGGGGTCAGGATGTGGCCGTGCAGGCGTGAAGACCTGGCCAGGAGCAGGGCCCCTGCCCCTCCACAGGACGAGGAGGAGCACGGAAACATTGAAAGGGCCAGAATTCCTTTCCTGCCTCTCTGGGCTGCCGAAAATGCAGAGCCCTTCCTCTCCCACTGCACCACATGCAGGGATGCGGCCAGGACCCGGGGGGCAATCCCACATCTGACACCCCAACGCTCAGGTTATGGGTTCGAGGAGCTCATCCTGGAGATCTGCAACCCTGCCACGACCCTTGGGGATGCAAACCGAAGGGGTTTGGAACGAGAAGCAGAACTTCCATGTTCTGATTTTAAAGCTTTGCCGCCAAAGACCTGTTGGGGGCTCGCCTCGCAATTCCGTCATTCAGCCTTCACTTCAGGGCCCCATTGAGCTCTTTCAGCGGGACACCCCCAGGTCAGAACCAAAAATGTGCAAAGGGAGCGCGTGCTGCTTCCCCCACACTGCGATGGGACCCAGGCCCTCCACTGAACTCCCACCTCCCACCCGGCTGGAGAGCAGGACCCCTTGCCTTGCTCATCCAGGGCCAGTGCACACAGACCTCACAGCACACAGCAAGAGCTAGAAGCGCAAGGCGAGTTCAGCAAGATGCAAATCCACCCCCCTCAAAGTATAAGAACCTCCCTTCTGCCAAGAGCCCCTCTGGTCCCCAGGTGGCTTCCCACTTTTGCTCAGCAGCGCACGGGCCAGGCACAGCCACAGGACAAGACCAGGAACTGGGCCAGTGCAGGGGGCCTGGCGGGCAGTGTCCCCAAGGCAGACCCTGCTGCTCCAGGACAGGGTGGGAGGCTGCGATGGCCCACCGGCGGGACCCCTCCAGCTTCTCCTGCTGACTCTGAGTCAAGCGAGCTCAGTTCACGGGCTTGGAGGAACTGCCGGCCAGCGTCCTCTCTTTGCTGGGGAGGAAGACGCCCTGCCTGGCCCAGACCCCTGGAGCGCGCAGGAGCCAGGCAGCAGCGCACAGCTGCCCGTCACACAGAGTCCCAGCTTGAAAGCTCCATCGCGGGCCTGGGAGTGGCAAGCGCTCAGTCAAAAGGCCGAGATTCACATGCATACACACGCACGTCCACACGGAGCACAACGAGATGGGTGCAAGGAGGCCTGAAAAGGCCCTGGGGAGGGCTGGGCGTGCAGGAGGGGGCCGCCAGCAGATGCAATGTGACGCAGAAGGTTCCTGCACTCTCCTGGGCACGACTTGGGAGGGCGCGTGAGGATGGCGAAGGGAAGACACATCCCGTGGGCGCAAAGTCCCTCCCTGGAACCCACTGCTGCAAAACGGGAGGCTGGGGAAGGCAGGAGGGGCGATGCTCCTGTGCCTCCTTGGGGCATCAGGTAGGCCCCAGTGGGACCTGCTCCGATACGTAGAGAGAGGCAACTCAGAATACGCCTCGGGGTACAGAGGCAAGGGCCCTCGCAGCTCAGAAGGGCTACAGGCCAACGTGCACGCGTGTGTGTGGGGGGGCACAACCTTCCATTCCTGTGATCCTAAAGACGCGTCCCAGGAAAGATATTGACCCTCAGCCACAGGCAGAATCTAGGTAGAGAAGGACAAGCCTCCTCCTCCTCCTCCTCCTCCTCCAGGAGCCCAAGCGCCCTGCAGCTGCTGAAACCGGAGCCCCCGAGGGAACAAGTGTCTTCCCCGCTAAGACTCGCTTCCGGCCAAGATTCCAGGGAGCCTGGAGGGGCGCCAAATGGGAACTGGAGCAAGTGCGTGCAGGGGAGGAAGGGGAAAGGGTCCTGGGAGCGGCCCGAGGGGTCTGCTCCGCAGGCCGCCTTGCACCTCTCTGGCTCCACACTCACCTGGCAGTGCCACCGAGATGGGGGGAGGCGGGGTTTGGGCTGAAAGCAAATTCAGAGTTAGCGGCACTAGTGGGGGGCACTCCCTTCTCCCTCCGGCCCCCGTCTCCCAGCCCCTCCGTCCGAGTCGATTTGCGGCTTCACCTGTTCCCAGTCGCCGGAACTGGAATCCCTGCGTGGACGTCTCGTAGGCGGCGATGGACCTGCTGTCCACGATGGAGAAAAGCATCGCGCGGATCTGCTCTTCATTCGTGTTCCCCTCGGAGCCCACGTCCAGCTCCACGAAGACGCAGCCTTCGATCTCCCTGCGGGGTGGGGCGGAAGGCACCGTAGATCCCAGGACCCAGAGGCAAAGCGCAGGCGTGTTTCTGATTAAGCCACACGCTAAAGGGGAGAAAACGCATCTCTCCCCGCAGCACCGTGACGGCCCCACAAGGACCCAGAGCGTTTTGAACGTCCAGGTTGCTGGTTCTCACTGCCACCGGTGGAAAACACAGGTGCCCATTCTTCCAAAGGGTGAACTGTTTTCCACAGACTGCCCGGAACTAACCCCCCCCCGCCCTTTGCAAGTGTGAATTTCTCCCTGTGACCGTCTTTTGAAAAGGAAGCGGGTTCAAATTCTGCCCCACAGCACCCCAGACTCACTTGATAAATACCACGCTGACCGACTGCTCGCCAGGGATCTTGTTGTACTCAGACTCCAGCTGAAGAGAGGGGAAAAAGTGTTCAGAGACCCCCTGACCCACCACTTTGCCCAGTAGCTTTTGGACTTAGGTGGCATCTCTGGTTGGGCAGGGGGGAAGATGGGATCTCTCCCCGCGATCCTCAGGGATTTCACGCCAAGGGATCCCAGCTCTGAGTTTCCACCTCGTTTCCAGAACCGCTTGCTCGAAGGGTTTGCAAGGCAGCCGAGACTCCCGAGAGGGGGTAAGGTTCGGAATTGGGTCGGGTGCATCTGAGCCAGGCACCTCTCTCGGGCTGGCCTACCTCACAAGGTTGCGGTAAGGATAAAACGGAGCAAGGGGGAGGAAGGGCCAGACCCGCTGCCTTTTGCTCCTGATAGAGAATAGAGTTCCCCGCAAACGAGGGGCGGCTTTTGCCAAGAAACCCACAGAACCTGCCCCAGAGAGCGGGCAGAAACGCTGCCGCCGAGGAAGGGCGCTCACCGTGTCCACCACCGCTTCGGACACCTCCTGGAAGGCCTCTGAGTTGACATCTTCCAGGCGGGGGCTGTACTCGATGGAATGGGTGAAGTTCACCAGGGCCCGGAAGTAGACTGCAAAGGAAAGGGGCCGGGGCTGGTGTGAGACGGGCCTGGGCCGCCCACCCGCCGCGGGGGTGCTGTCCCCTCTGCTTTGCTCTCATCCCCTCCCTCACCAGGGCAGGTCGTGGACCCGAACCCCCAGCCTGGGAGGGCCGCCTTGACGCATCGACGTGCCGGCGAGGAAGGAATGCAACCACGCTTAGGGGTCAGCGTGAACCCACACACGGCCAGCTGCTCGCCCAGCCCTCTTGCTTGCTTCCTGCGTGCAGGGCTGAAAGCTCGAAGGAGAGGGAGGCCACTGCCCTGAAGCCCGAGGCGCTGAGCAGATGTTTGAGAGGGGTTTCCCAGGGGAAAGGCTGGACGACACCCAGAGCCGCCGGGCGCCTGTCCCGGAGACCCTCTCCTTCTTGGAGGCGAGGGCACGCGCGCCAGGCACGGGAAGGGGCTGATGTCAACGTCGCGGGGTCTTCCGCTCTCCCACCCCCGGCTTTCACAAGGGCAGGCTGCCGAGCGCCCCGGCCAGCAGCGGATTCCAGGCCCAGCTGCGGAGCCTGACGGCCAGCGGACAAGCCTGATCTTTGCTCCAGGGACGGGGTGGGGGGCGGCCGCAGTCCAGCCTGTGTCAGGTGCTGGCCGCGGCAGCCTTGGACCGGGAGTCACTGCCACTGCCGGCTCCAAGGAGGAACGGCTTCTGCCGCGCGGCCACATCCTTCGGGGCTTTCTGTTTCAAAGAACGCGTGGGTCGTCTGGGGTCACGTACCGATCTCGCCCCCCTTCAAGAGGGGAGGAGAGAGGCTGGACACCGAGGAAGGAGACTCCTGGGGGGGGGCAGCGAAGCTTTCCACCTGGGGAGAGCCACGAAAGGGCAACCCGGCTGACCCCTGCGGTCCCCTGGGTGTCCAGATCCAGGACGGGCAGGAAGGCACCGCGGAGAGGCCCTTGGCCAAGGGCCGGGGCCAACCTCCCTCGGCCTGGACGGCTGCCATTCCCAGTTCGCACTGGGCAAAAATACCACAGACGCCTTCCAGGGGCCAGGCACATCTTGGCCACCTCCCACCCTCACGTGCTTGGATTCCAGGGTGCCCACCCTTCTCCAGCGCAGCCCATTCACACAAGGGGGGCTTGTTGTTCAGCCCTCATAATGGCCCCATTCAGAGCTCGGCTGCCTACGGTGCCCCCGTGACTTGGCCGAGCCACTCAAGGGCCCCACCCGCCTGCAGAGTCACCCTGAAAGAATGCGCCTTGCCCCTGCCCTGACACGGGGGGCTCCCTGCCGCTTCCTGCCCGCAAATTGTCCTGCAGGGCGCTTGGGAACGGGCCAGGCATGCCCCAGATCGTGTCTCCTGCCTGCCGCGCACCCCTGGGATGAGCGACGTAGCTTTTGGAGGAAAACACGTCCCCTGATCACATGCAGAGTGCCGCTCCCTGTGCACGCAGCTGCGATTAGGAGGAAGGCTGTGAATTCCTTTGGGGCTCAGGAGAAAGGGGCCCCCTTATTCGGCCATTTCCCACAAGCTCTGCCTAGGGTGAGATGGCTGCAGTGCTCCTCACCCGGGGGTGTGGGAGCACATCTGGGCTGCCAGATGTGGCCTCGGGGTGGGGGGAAGATGCAGCCCCAGCTACCAGCCCAGGAGAGAGGCCGCAGCATTGCAAAACAGGCATGCAGGGTGAGTCAGCCCCAGCGGTGGGGGGGAGAGGGCACGGCCCCCCGAGTCCAGAGGCGGGGAAGGGAAGCGAGGGAGGCTGGCCGAGGGACCGCTGGGGAGAGGCCCTCCCCACACCGGTCCTTCTGCACGGTGCATGAAGCAGCGCTGGAGTTTTACCTCCTTTTAAGGCGCCCTGGCGCCCGGGAGGTGGGGAGCTGGACGGCTGCTTGCACCGAAGAAGAACAATAATGCGGGAAGGGCTCCCCGGCTGAGTCAGCTTCCCCGGCCTGTCCCTGGAGGTCCGGGACACTGGGGGGGTGGGGGATTTCTCCTGAATCACAGGAAACTCAAGCTCCCGGCCCCTTCCTTCTGACCCCCAAAAGACCCAGGCATTCTGGGGACGCCCAGTTCTTCCCTCTGCCCTCGGAGCCCCTTCACGATAATAGATCAATAAAATAAGCCTGTGCTTATAAATCACAACCGAGCACTCGTCCCACGCAAGGCCAGAGACCACCGCGCTTTTTCGACACCCCGGGCCAGCTGCTGGGGGGGAGGGGGTCAGCCCCTGACCACCGAAGCGGCCGTG